CCGGCGTTTCTGAGCGTCTAAACTACTACTGCTGTCGTTGTTGTTGTTGTTGTTGTTGTGGTTGATGTTGTTGTTGCTGATGTTGTTCGTCCTACCAAACTCGTAAGATGACGATGAGTCTGTTGATGGTGAGTTTGCCGATGGTGATGCTGTTAGTTTGGTGGATTTTGGTTTAATGACTAATGCTACAAACAATGTCTAAGATACAAACAACATTTACGAACAGTAGAATCACAACAATAACAACAACAACGACAACAACAACAACAAGATCAACAACGACGTTGGCATTTTTAACGTTTCGTCCACTTTATGAATAATAAAATGAATATAAAATGAAATGCTAAATGCACACGTATGACGCGCCAATTAAAGCGTGTTTCCATGAAAATACGTCATGTGTACGTGTGTGTACGCTCGCATGTGTGTTTGTGTGTGTGTGTGTGAGATTGTGTATTTGTGTTTACTACTACTACTACTACTACTACTACTGCTGCTGCTGCTGCTACAACTAATACTACAAAAAAAACTTACCCGACACATCATTGTTATTATGATTATTATGATTAGCAGACGAGAAACTATTATGGCGTTTTTGAACAGAGTCGTACGAGCCAATGTCCCTACAACCGCTCTTTGAACTACTACTGGATAACTCCGAGTTTGGACTAGACAACAAGTGATCAACCGTGAAATTGTTGGTTGGAAAGATTGGAAAGAAGGCATTTGCGGTAGTAGTAATGTTGCTGTTGTGGCTGCTGTGGCTGTTGTGGCTGGTGTTGGTGAGTTTATTTTGATAATTGTAAAACTCTTTGCAGTGGTTTTGTGCCGTTGTAGTTGTCGTAATGCTGTTGATGTTGTTGTTGTTGTTGTTTGCGTTATTGGGGTGACTATGCTGGTTTAAGAAATGTTTACCGTTCATTTGGAATGGAAAGTGGGTATTACTTGTGACATTATTGTAGTAGTAGCTATTGTTGTTGTTGTTGTTGTTAATGTTGTTGTTGATGTTGTTGTATGGATGGGGCAGTGGTCCGCCAAAAAATGGTCCCAAAGAATTTAATTTTGCAATTCTTAACAAAAAGTTAAAATCCATTTTTCCTGGCCTCGTTTACTTTTAGACAGTTTAAAACGAACTGCTGTTATCAATTATTTCTTTAAGAATATTTTTTAATTAAATTTTAAAGCCAGTTGTAAAAAGTTTTCAGTCAATTGAATACAGCAACAAACATGTTGTGGAACTTCCAATTCGGTCTTAATTGGATTCTAATCATCTCTGAACACTAATTAACTATTATCCAATTAAAATGTAAAATTAATTTTACTTTTTTGTGAATAAATGGAATTAAAACAAAAAAATTATAAGCTACATAACTCTACTAGGACAATCAGTTTAACGCCAGCAATTGTAATTAAGTATTTAAATAAAATGTCAAATTATCCAAACAAAGCAATAACAAAAATTACATCATGTATTTGTTATTTCTATAATTGATATAGTTTTTATTATTGTTATTATTATTATTATTATAACTATTGTTGTTATTATTATTATTGTTTATACAAACTAAACAATCAATTAAATTAAAACAAAGTAGCAAATTGGGGAACAGGCGAAGAAAGGGAACTTTTTCACTCCAGCCAATAATTAAATTTTCTATTCGTCCGGCTTAAATAGGTGCCATCCATTCAATTTGCCCGGCATACCGATCCGATATTATTATTATTCTTTTTATTATTATTATTGTTATTATTTCTATCATTGGATTTGTTTTTATATTGACCAAATTGTTTTAAGCTTGTATGGACATTATATATAACAAAATGAAAACTATATATATATATATATATATATATATATATACATATATATATATATACACACACATGTATATAAGTTTGTGTATGTACTTGATCAATGTTTTTATTTTTTGCCTTTTTCATTCACATCTGCATAATTATTATTCTAATTTTTCAACTCTCTTTTTCCCTTTCTCTCTCTTTAATTCGTTTTTTTTGTCTAATTCTCTCTCTCCCTGGCAGCAGCAGCGTGCGTGATCATCGTTGTTATTAATTTCATGCCAAGAAGGAGGCAATCGACCAATAGGAATGAAGCGTGATGCTATGGGCGGAGCTTATGCGTGGAAGACAATTTTTCAATGGCAGCCGAAATAGGCAGACGACGATTTGAAGGCATTTCATTTGTAAAAATACAAATCGACATTTTCGACTTATCAACAATTTTTTCTGTGCATGCGTGTGTGTGTGTGCGTGTGTGTGTGATTGTATGTACGTGTGTGTGTGTTGGTTCGTTTCGTTTGTGTGTGTGTAGTGTGTGAGTGTAGTTGTGTTAGTTTGCGTATATATGTGCGTATGTCCCTTTATTGTAAATACGCACATGCAAAAATATATGGATATCAACAACGACAACATCAACAACAAACAACAGCCCCAACTAACAACAACAAAAACAGCAACAACGACAACAAAAACAACAACTAACAACAATAACGACAACAGCAGCGCTTACGATCGTGTTTTTTGTTGCATCGACGTGCGTACCCGACGAAGACATTAAAAATAAATTCATCACGTCACTTAAATAAGAGCGTACACACACGCTGGTAAAGATTATGTCAAAAAGAACGAAAAAACTGGACAAGAGAGAGAGAGAGAGGGAGAGAGAGAGAGAGAGAGACAGAGACAGAGACAGAGAGAGAGAGAGAAAGAAGAAAAGAGAAAAAAAGAAAAAAAGAAAGAGAAAGTGAGAGAGAAGAGAGAGAGAGAGAGAGGGAGAGAGAGAGACAGAGGGAGAGGAAAAAGAACAGATAATAGGAAGAGATAAAGAGAAAAACAGATAAAATTTGAGAAAATGAGAAATAAAATTAGATAAAAGGAGAGAGATGAGGAGAGAAAAGGGAGAGAGAGAGAGAGAGGAGAGAGAATGAAAGATGGAAAGAAAGTGATACACAAAAAATAGCACCAACATTAAATACACTTGCAATAAAAAACAAATTTCTTTTATCCCAAGCTTTCGATGTTAAAGAACGCCAATTAGGAAATCAATGCTTTAGCGATAAATCCCGGACACTTTTTTCTTTTTTTATAAACCGCAAAAATTTTAAAAAATCTTTTAAAAATTAAATAAATAATAAAATAATATGTCGAAATTTTATTACTACGTTGGGCAAAAAATAAATTGCTAATTTATTTCATTATTTTACTAATTAAAAACATATCAGCTTTGTCTTATAAGTTTGTTAAAATTAATTAATCAATGACGAAATATTTGTAACTTTTGATCATTTCCTCTATTGTAAATCGCTAGCAAGATTGGTTACTGCATTGGGAATCAAACAAGAGCATTGTAAGCCGATATTTTACCACTACACCAATATATACATGTATGAGTATGTATGTATGTATGTATGTTAAAACCAAAACATGATGAATGACACTGAACCGTTAAACATCAAGTAACAAATGGATTAACACTTTGATTTGTCGTTAATTGCACATGTCGGCATTCAGTTGGATATTTTCAAGCACACAGACACGCAGGAACCGCTGCAACAAGCACGAAATGTGGTTAGTTGCGAAAAACAGTTCCCTGCTGTCACCTGATCTGACGCTGATCATTTTACATATTGCCTTAAGAAATTTAAGGGTATTGGGGTCCATCGGGCCGAGAACCTTGATACATATTGGCAAGAATTCCATCGAGGGGAGAGCCTTCCCATATTTTTTCATTTTCTCGTCCGCTGCCCTGGCCGCGGCCAAACCGCATTCTTTACTTGTCAGGTTTACATATCGTTCGGCAAGGGTGCCAGGGACCGTAACATCCCACGCCAAACATCTGCCGGCTCTCCAAGGTATTAGTGTGCATCCGTCCGGGCGCCTACCATCATACACAGAAATGCCGGATGGTTCCTTGAGAACCGGGATTGAAGCCTTAAAGAGCCGACAAATGTATTCATTTAGCGCTGAGTGACGTAGTTGACGGCCCCCACCCAGGCGACAAACCAAACCGTGGTGTCCAAACTCGTCCGCCCCAGCGCCACATCGGCACGTGTATTTATTTTGAATGACCAGGCCAAGTCTGAAGCCAATGGCAAATCTCACAGACTCGTCGTCAAGCCTGGTGCCCACAGAGGTGTTGGGCCACGATCTCAACCACCCACCCACAGCTGGCAACGCTGGACATGGTCAACAAACGAGCGGTGGAAAAGTCGTCGCCGCATGAAGACAACAAATTTTGAAAGATTTTTTTATATTCTTCGTTCAAAATTTGGACGTGCGTACGGTCCCCCGGGGCGGACACTGGGGGAAGAATATCGCGGCACCGAAAAAACCGGTGGAGCGGGGAAGACTGCAGGTCGAGAGTGGCAGCGGCAGAAGAATTATAAACAACAGAAGCCAGATGAACCACGCTAAGCAACCCCAGCCCACCAAATCGCACCGGCAGCTGAGCCTGGGACCAATCACTGTCGGTCACTTGAACATTGCAAATCGACGACAGGGCGGTGCGCAGGGCTCCGTCAAATTCGCCCAATTTAGAAGGGTCAATGTGTTTGGATGTACGCAGGAAGTACATCAATTTTGGCAAACTGAGGGCATTGCGGATAATAGTCAAGGCATCATGGACCGAAAGACAGGAAACACGACCCAGGGCGAATTTAAGCTCAAAGAGCTTTTGGTCAAAAAACTTTATTTGATAATCGCCCTCGACCAAGGGTGTGCCTAAAAAACTGATGCACCAACTCTGGGTATTCCAGCCAGTGCATGTGGGACCTGAAATAAACTTTGGCAGTGAAGTTCGCATTTTTTAATGTTTAACTCTAAACCAATTGCAGCGGAGTTATGCTTCAAATATTCGTAGCTATCGGCCAGAGTTGGGCCGTCCGAAGCAATGCTGATATCATCCAGATAAGCGCAAACGAAAGAGGACGAAGCTTTCTCTAAGAGTGGATGAAGAGTTAGTGCGAACAGCAAAGGACCAAGGG